CCAGCCGATGGGAAGGGAATATCACCCACCTGATTCATTTCAGACTAAGGAACTGGACACCGAGCCCGTTACAGTCCAGGGGTTCAAAGGCTGGGCCCCCGAGGGTCTCGATAGCCGCCCCAGGACAAACAGAGTCAGGGATGACTATGGGCAAGCCCGTACATGGCCGAGGCTCAAGCAAGCAATTGCTTGGGATGCCCTAAGTCGTGTCCGAGACCAACAGGGAGGTCTCTGAATGGGATCCCACCGCAGGGAGGCACCGAGCCCCAGGGCCAATCGAATGGCCCTGGGACCCACTAGAGAAGCCCTCTGATACTTTTGGAGTGCGTCTCTGGACCGCTAGCCGACCCCTATCGAATGGGGCACGGGCCTCCACTCGGACTTACCCGGTAACAGCTCACCGGAGGTGTCACTGCTCGCCCACCGAGGGTAGCCTGGCATACTCCACCCCTCCTTCCAAATGAAAAGGATGCACGAGGGCCGCACAAAAAAGACAGGGAAACTCCTGATCGCCCTCTTGCTCCGAGCAGAGGCTCGGGGGCTCTTCCTGCAACCAAGCCGAGGCCCAGCGACCCGAACTCGCACTCGGGGGCTCGGCAAACGTGATAAAACCCCTCACTCAACATGAAAAAAGCCCATGGAGGAATAAATCCACTCCTCTAGGGCCTCGGGGGCTACACCCGGTGGGTGCGCTCGTGCGCACCTACCGAAGCCTCAGGTACGAAACGCCATCTCGCCAGGAGCTGCCGCGAGCCAAGTCTCGTCAAAACCTCAGGGAGAGCGCTCGCACTCTCCCCGAGGCTCGGGGGCTACTGTCGGGTACCAAAAAAGGGGTCCCCTAAGCAAGAACCGAAAAAATCATTTAGACCTTGTAAATATCGAAGCCAAGAGAACCACCGGCAAACCCCCACCTTATCCGAGGCCTGGCTGGACCACCCGGCCCACCTCGAACAATCTCCGGGCTCACCCGAAGCGGGTTGGCATAGAGCGAAACCACGAGGCCTCGGACGAGGCACCGATTCTCCGACTCGCCCGAGGCCCCGTGCCGCAAGGCCTCGGACGAGGTACCGATTCTTCGACTCACCCGAGGCCCCGCGCGCAAGGCCTCGGACGAGGTACCGATTCTCCGACTCGCCCGAGGCCCCGCGCGCAAGGCCTCAGACGAGGTACCGATTCTCCGACTCGCCCGAGGCCCCACGCCACGAGGCCTCGGACGAGCATCCAGTTACCGACTTGCTCGAGGCCGGCTCGGCATCAACCCCGTCACCGCCGCCTTGACCGACTTCTCTGACGGGACGTCACATCCAACTAACGCGTCCAACCACTCCCGCGACGTCAGCCAAACGACGACACGATACAGCGGAGTGGCCGACGAGACGGGAGTCACATCGACACCATGCCGTCCAGGACAGGACAGGGCAGGGGTTACAGGGCGCTGTGCTCGGCACTGTGCCCACAACTGACGTCCGTGCTGCACTGTGCTGCCTAACCCCTGCTCCAAGGTCAGCGCGGCGTGGAAAGTCAAGTCTGGGTCCCTGTGGCCTCGGAATCGACGTACAAGACCAACTGCGCCCTCCGAGCCTCGGCTATCCGCTTCTGGGCTCCTGTAGCCTCGGTACTCGCGCCCGCCGAGCCCCCCACAATAGTTCAGCCTCTGCACCGACTGGGCCTCGGCTCTCTACGTTGTCAGCACTCTGGGACCGGCACGTCGTCCGCAGTACGTGCCATGCCCTACGTCAAGCTGTAGGAGCTCCCACGTCGTGCATAGGGCCAAGCTCCTGTAGCCTCGGAATCAGCGCACCCGCACCGTCGCATCTACCCAGCCTCGGCTCTCCGCGCCGGTCAAACCTACAGTGACCAGCACGCCTCCAATAGAGGAGGGCACGCATGCCACCACAGGAGCTCCCACGTCGCACAGGATCAGGCGTGACCGGCGCGTCGCTCTAGTGAACCGAGGACAAGACCGCTTCACCGACCATGCCGCCACAGTGACGAGCTGTAGGGCTCAGACATACCGCCTCTGCTCACAAAACGCCACGTAGCAAATACATGTACCGCCCCTGTGCCTCCCTTCGACTATAAAAGGGAGTGACCAGGGCCGCTTCTAGGGGAGATCAGACTCACACGTGCAAGCAACGCACAACGCTCTGTAATACACACGCTTCCTCACTGCAAGAAGATCAACATCTCATGCAACCCACGCCAGTCTACGCAGAGACCTAGGACTAGCTCCCTCTCTCGCTCAGCTTGTAAGCCCCTACTACAAGCACCTCGGTGCAAGGAATACAAGATCGCTCTCTCAGACTGGACGTAGGGCACCTATTGCCTGAACCAGTATAAACCTTGTGTCTCTTTGCATCACCATCCGGGATTAGAGGCACGCAGTACATTTTCACTAGTCGGTTGAGGACCCGCCGGACCCAAAACACCGACACATTATCTTGTAGGTAAAATTTGCTCCTGAACACTGAAAGTGACCTCTCTTTGCTGGTGGACACCGAAAATGAAGCGATTTGCTTGTGAACACTTTTATTGTTGCCAAATTTGCAAAAGGACAATGCATTAAAATATTCGTTTTTTACTCTAGAGGTGAGACAAGAGCATTGAATGTCCTTTCTACCCCAACCTCTTTCATCATCATCCTCCGGCGTGAAGCCACCAACAAATCGCTTTAGGCCCCGTTTAGTTCCGAAAATTTTTGGATTTTGGCCACTGTAGCATTTTCGTTTTTATTTGACAAAAATTGTCCAATTATGGACTATTTAGGCTTAAAAGATTCATCTCACGATTTCTCGGCTAACTGTGTAATTAGTTTTTTTTTCGTCTACATTTAGTACTCCATGCATGTACCGCAAGATTTGATGTGACGAGAAATCTTGAAAATTTTTGGTTTTTAGCTTGCATCTAAACGGGGCCTTATTTTGAGTGTCCACCTGAAAAGGTAGGTCACTCTCAGTCTCTAGTAACAAATTTTGCCTATCTTGTATTGGTTGGCCATAAGCATTCACTCGTAAATGTGAAGGCTGAAATGTTGTTTATTCCTTAATCTGGAAAAAAACATAAACTATGAGTGAAAAATGTTTATATTAGCAGTTGGTTAAATTAGCTGCATATGTACATCGATATGCACTAAATAGATTTATATGGAGGTTCTTAGCTCACGTAAGTAGAACCTTACCATTTCCTCCGGCACACTAGCGGTTTACATAAACATACAAAAGCTGGCAGCTAGTTAGTGTCGTCTACTCTGGTTCTCCGCGACGTGACGAAACCAGTTCGGGCGCCTATGGCTCTTGCAGACTTGTACTGCTTTCCCGGAAATTCCAGGGGAATCTAAGCGCGCGACGCGTTCACCAATTTTCCACACGGTCACCGTGTATGTCTACATGCCGTCACTATATCACCTTCTTGTATCTCTTCTCTTTCCTTCTTGTTTTCTTGAGCATTGTCTTTTTTTAGCACAAATTTTGTGGACACCTTGGTAACTCCCTAGAGAAGATGTATGCAAAATTTCAGCTCCATCAGAGCTCGTTTGATCAAGTTTTGACTTTTTTCGTTGGTTCGGGATGCTAAAAACAGGCTGCGTCCAGGACGCCAACATCCGCACTCGGAACGCTGAATTTCCGCATTCAAACGCAGAAGTTTTGCAGTCCGGGTGCTGATAATTGACCTCTGGTAGTTCTGAGACGTTTCCTTGGTTTGGTCTTACTTCCACTTCTTTCGTGGGTGTCAAGTATTGCCTAGGAACTTTTCTAAGTCCTCAAGTCATCAGAGTCTTAGACGATTATGAGTTAGACTGTTGCTTCATTGTGATTGAAGTCGAGAGTATTGTTTTTCAGGTTTTGGAGTGTTTTGGTGTTGCGCTTGGTTTTCTGGTGTGGTAAGTATCCTGCTGTGTTCTTCGGTCATCACCGAGAACATTCAGCTACCAGTTCATTCGAGGGCACGGCACTTATGTGTTTTGGTGTTTTGCAGGGTTATTTTGGACAACAGCTATTTTGGAAGAAAAATTGAATAGCTCTCATTCATCCCGTCGTCTTTTTCGATCCTTTAGTGGAATTGAAAATTTCATTTAAAAAAAGTAGAACCTTACTGTTTCCACTAGCACACTAGCAGTTCACCTAAACATACAAAAACTGCCCGCTAGTCAGAGCACCTCCAAAGTACCCAAAAGAGTCTCCCAATTCAGGAATTTTAGTAAGATTGAAAAAAACTCATCTCCAATAACTCACAAACCCACCTTTTAATCTTTTAGCACTTGGAAAAACCATACCAACACGCATAAAGTTACGCACACGTATTGTCGCCCCAATCTGAGGTGGAAGGACGTGGGAAAGAAAAAAAAAGTAGGACAGAATTCGTGATGCAAATGTACGAGAGAGAAATAAAATATAAAAACAGTTAGTGTGATTTAGAAATAGTTTATGATTTCTGATGTAAAATTATCTTCTATCCTTTAGGCGTGAGATTTTGAAAATTGTTAGAGTTGTAGGTTTTTTGCCAATATATTTTGCAAACGTTGGAAACCAGTTTTTGGTAGTATTTTTTCTAGACACCGTTGGAGATGCTGCGTTGTCTACCTGATTCTCCGCGACGTGACGAAACCAGTACTGGAACCCGTGACTCTTGTCTCTTGCAGTTGCAGGCTTGCCGGAAAATTTCAGGGGAATCTAAGCGATCGACGCGCTCAACAATTTTCCACACGGTCACTGTATATGTCGACAGGCTTGTTGTTTTCTTGCACACTGTCCTTTCTTTTGCCTGTAGCCCTGTACTACTTTGTATTACTTTTTGAATAGATTAAGGGGCCTCGGCCCCTCCTGTCTCTTTAAAAATAAACTAGAGGCCCCTCCTGTCTCTTTAAAAATAAACTATGTATGTCGACATACCGTCACTATATCACCTCCACTTGGTATTTGTAGTTGCCGGTTGGTACTGAAGCTTTCGGGGCATTCCAGGCAAACATGCCACAATCACCAAGCTCCGAACACGGAGGCACAATGGCCGCTGGCGTTGATTACAAGCGCTACCGGCGAGCTTTGACTCCCGCCACTGCGTCTGGAATCAACTCTGCAGCTACCACGGAGCCCAACTTCCTCTGGAAGCAGCGCAAGTATGTGTTGCTGCAGGCCACGCTCGCGGCCACCGTCACCTACTCGGCGGGAGTGAACCCGCCGGGATGGCTCTGGCCCGACAACGGCGACGCTCTCCAGGTTACGTATCCCCACCGCTACAAGGTCTTCTTCTATTTCAACGCCACCGCCTTTGTCGCCTCCCTTGTCACCATCCACCTCCTCTTGTTCGACTTGCTCCGCCGCCGCCGCTGCTGGCTGCGTGCAGTCCAGGCCTCCGTGATCCTCAATCAATTCTCCCTCCTGGGGGCCTATGCAGCCGGCAGCTGTAAGCAGGTGACCAGGTCCACTTACGCGGTGGCCCTTGTTGGCATGGTCTCCCCCTACGTCTGTGCCCATGTTCTATCCTTCCTGCGGCGTGCCCTGAGAACACACGGTGGCTGCAAGAACTTGGCGCCACCTGATGATCATGTGCCGGAAACTGTGGAGCTCGTGCCTAACATCTTTCTAGTCATCTCGCCTATTGTGGCGACGTTGACTTACCAGGCCGGGCTGAGCACGCCGGGTTGGTTCTTGTCGGACAGCAAGGACGGTGACCATGTCGCCGGGGACCCTATCCTCCGCGGTCACCATACAGACCGCTTCATGGCGGTTTTCTACTTCAACCTCATGGCGTTCATGGCGTCTCTGGTCATAACGACGCTGATCATCAGCGGAACCGTGAGGCGCACGTGCCTCTGGCTCTGGGTGTTGACAGGTGAGACTCTAATCGGGCTCACCGGTACCTTTGCCATCGGTAGTAACATGAGAGTCAAGGCATCCATCAAAGTCGTCATTGCATTATTGGTTGCCGCCATTACATTGTACATGGTGGTCCACAGCCTGAGCTCAGCAGCATCTGATCATCGGGTTCATCATTCAGCATCTGAGCTCAGCAGCACCAGTTCATTCCAGGAGTTTCGCACGCACTTGGTTCTGTTGGCGATTCTTGCTGCCAGTGTAACATATGAAGCTGGACTGAACCCGCCGGGTTGCTTGAGGCAACAAAGTGCTGCTCATGATTACATCGCCGGTGACACAATCCTCCACGTCACAAATCCCCAGACCACGAGATATCTGGTTTTCTTTTACTGCAATGCAACAGCATTTGTTGCGTCGCTAGTTATCCTTATCCTACTCGGCAACAACATATTGAGCACCCAAGTCAAGCGGCTTGCATTGATAGTCTCCATGATTCTGGCCCTTCTTGGATTGGTTGGTGCGTTTGCAGCCGGAAGTTGCAGGAAAGTGTCCAAATCTGTGTACATCTCAGCAGCTTTGCTTGCTGTTGCGGTGCCCTTCTACTTTGGCATCCGTGCTGCGGTACTCATGTTACAAGTCTTCCCAAATAGCGCAACATGGTGGAAAATGGTGAGAGAAAAGCTAAAGCGATCTGTGCCCGATTGGCTCAAGAAGTTCTTTGAGCTGCCGCCTGAGGTGGAAGGTGAGAACATGAAATGGAAATTAGAGAAGAGTCGGAAGCATCTGCTGCTCCTTGCCATTCTTGCGGCCAGTCTGACCTACCAGGCAGGCATGAGTCCCCCAGGAGGATTTTGGCAACAGAACAAGACAGGCCCTATTGTCGCCGACTACTACGGACGTCGCTACACGGCTTTCTTTTACTGCAATGCAGTTGCCTTCGTTGGGTCTTTTTCCTTGACGATCATGCTGCTGCTGAATAGAAAGCTTTCGTCGAGAGGAATACTGTCACATGCGCTCAGGGTGTGTGTGATCCTCGACCAGCTGATTAGGCAGACCGGTGGGTTCGTTACCCGAATATGCCGGAAGGTATCAATATCCACATATGTCTTCATCCTGGTCTTTCCAGTTATAGTCTGCATCGCGCTCCATCGTATTCTGGGCGCGCCAGAGTCGATCCAGGGTAGCCAACAGATACTTCTATTCTTGTTCATCATTATGGAGGAAGAAGCGGGTCACAAATTGCCGCCTACTGCCGTCCATGGTCCCTGGTATGGAAAGTTTCCCATATACTTTGGTGGTCTCTTTAATTTATTCATTCATCTTGTAACATATCGTTGAACTACTCATATAGGTACTTTTCTAATATAATATCTATCCGATTGTAGTACTATTTGGGTTACTTTAGGTTATTTCAGTGGGTGAGATCGCCAGAAATTTTAGGAGGGGGCTGAGACATAACTAATGGTATAACACATTGTTATTCATATCAAACATATATGAATAGTTATTATAATGCAAGTTTAAAGATTAGAGATGGTACCTTCCATTAGAGCAACTTCAACAATAGCACTCAAAAAATAGCCACTACTTTTTATTTGAGGGCTCCCAACTACTTTAGAGGAGCCAAATTTCTGAGCTGTACTATAGCATGAGCCCTCAAAATAGGACCTACGTATTCATTATTATAGGGAATGATACATAGCACCCCCTCGCCATCCTCTTTCTTATCTACTTCCTCATTCAGGATCTCGGCCGTGTATTGACAATGGAAGAGGAGAGCTACCGAAAGGAAGTGACGCGAGGGATGGGTAACTACTAGCCTCTCGACAGAGGAGTGGGGGTGGGTGTCGAGGAGCCGAGCCGCGAGGGCCGGCACCTCAACGGAGGAGCGGGGAGGGCATCACGAGGCATCGAGGAGCCACAAGGGGGGAGTTGCGAGGGCCGCTTGGGAGTGATCTGTAGGAAGACGCCTCGCCGGGGATGGAGGAGTCTCACCATGGGGAAATCGTTGGAGAGGACTCACCGGGATATGGCACCACTGGATGACGAGCGGTCGGGGCAGGGGCGGGCTGTGGTGCGGTGCTGAGATCTGGGCGGGGGCAAGCCACTAGATGGGAAGAAGAACCGGATAGAGGTGGGCGAGCGCCATGGAAGGTCAAGTGGACGTGGACGGAAAAGCCTATGCACGAGCAAAAAAACATCAAAAGAGAAAAGTGGAGGCTCCCTCCAGAACCCTCAGCAATGTGGGCCCGAGGGGAAGATTTGAGGGCCTCTTGCTTTTGTGGTCTGAAGTAGGGTCCTACTGGAGTGAGCTTTGTTTTTGTCCCCCGACCCTTAAAAAGTAGGACGAGGGATAAGTAGGGAATCTACTGGAGTTACTCAAGGTAGCACGAACGGCTGTTAGGGGCACCTTAGCCCTCTTCCAATGCGGACCCCCACCGACGAGCAATGATCCCTCTCCCTCTGCTTCATGCTCGGCACGAACACCTCATCCAAAGCTCCAACAGAATATGACGGGGAGTCGCTAGGAGGAAGGAGGAAGAGGGTGGAGGGTGTGGGGTTCCTCACCAGTGGTAGGCAGGGCAACTGTCCCACCCTACTGCATTGGGCTTTCGGTTTGGGTTATCTGCTGCTCCAGAATCGAATGCCATCAATTGTAAAGATGCTTCACACTAGTACGAGGCCTTTACCTGGGTCGTCGCCACGAGCTTGGCAGTGTTGATCTAAGCGGCACCGCGCCATCCTTCTGGTTGATCTGACATCAGAGGTGTCATCACTGCACATAGGCACCGGTGTCCACCTCCTATCTCCTCGGTCGTCATCCCACCATGGATCTAGCGAGGACGGCAGCTCTATGGATTTGGCTACAGCTCCACGCCACTGCCTTCGTCTGACTGTAACACCACTTTGCCATCCGTGCAGTGGCCTCTGATGTTTCCTTCCACGGCAGCTGGCGTCATGCCAGCCATGGGACTAGGGCCGCCCTAGCGCCACTTGCAGCGGCCCTCGCACCACCCGCGGCCCCTGGAGGCGGTCCTCACTCATGGTCTCTGCTGTTGGGTCTGGGCTGCTGACGTCGATTGGAGAATAAGGGAGAGAGCGGTGATTGAGAGACACGAATAGTGAAGAAAATAAGGGCCTGTTTGGTAGGCCTTCTTCCCTGCTCTGGCTCCTCCGAAGGAGCTCAACCAAACGTTTTATAGGAGGAGCCGTTTTTCAGTGAAAAATAAAAGAGTTGGAACCATTTTGGAGGACCACAAATTGTGGCTCCTGTAAAACGGTTGCGACTCCTCTACGGGAGCCCCACGGGAGGCCTGCCAAACACCCTGTAAGAAATGAATAAAATTATCATACGGTGTCTTACTGCAAATAACCATAATTTCATAATGATGATAAATTTTATCTTTTATTGTGTGAATTGGTCAATACCATGTCTGCCCAACATCCCAGAGCAAAATTTTCTAAAACAATTGGTTGGACGGTGTTTGAATGATAATGTGTCCATTGGTTTGTGGTTTCAGTCCGGAAAGCCAAGATCTAATGGTTGGCGAGATCGAGTCAGAACACGACAAGACGAAGCTGGATGGCGACGTGTGGGTGCTGGATTGCAGTGCGCGGATGCACTACACCGCCGACGTGCAGCTGCTCGATGGCAGTGACGCGCTGCCTTCGTTTCGGGACGACGACGCCCACATCCTTGCACGTGGGCACGTACGGACCAATCGGTTTGAAGTCCCGAACGTCAGCTGCGTTCGGGGAGACGCGAGGAACGTCATCTCCGTGGCCCAGCTTGCTCGCAGCCATGGCTTGGTTTCGGTCTTTGAGCCGACAGTTGGTTATGTGAGGGATACATCGACCGGGGAGGACGTTGGCCGGGCCTATGTACGAGAAGGCGACGGGGTATACGTGCTGGAGTATCTGCTCATCGGTGAGCCACAGGTACGTACTTCATCTCGATCCTACTCCCTGAGTCCCTGGTAGTAGTAGACGCCTAGCATATACTTTCGGGGCATTCCAGGCAAACATGCCACAATCACCAAGCTCCAAACACGGAGGCACAATGGCCGCTGGCGTTGATTACAAGCGCTACCGGCGAGCTTTGACTCCCGCCACTGCGTCTGGAATCAACTCTGCAGCTACCACGGAGCCCAACTTACTCTGGAAGCAGCGCCAGTATGTGTTGCTGCAGGCCACGCTCGCGGCCACCGTCACCTACTCGCCGGGAGTGAACACGCCGGGATGGCTCTGGCCCGACAACGGCGACGCTCTCCAGGTTACGTATCCCCACCGCTACAAGGTCTTCTTCTATTTTAACGCCACCGCCTTTGTCGCCTCCCTTGTCACCATCCACCTCCTCTTGGTCGACTTGCTCAGCCGCCGCTGCCGCTGGTGGCTGCGTGCAGTCCCGGCCTCCGTGATCCTCATTCAATTCTCCCTCCTGGGGGCCTTTGCCATCGGTAGTAACATGAGCGTCAAGGCATCCATCAATTTCGTCATTGCATTATTGGTTGCCGCCATTACATTGTACATGGTGGTCCACAGCCTGAGCTCAGCAGCATCTGATCATCGGGTTCATCATTCAGCATCCGAGCTCAGCAGCACCAGTTCTTTCCAGGAGTTTCTCAAGCCCTTGGTTCTGTTCGCGATTCTTGTTGCCAGTGTAACATATGAAGCTGGACTGAACCTGCCGAGTTCTTTGAGGCAACAAAGTGCTGCTCATGATTACATCGCCGGTGACACATGCCTCCACCTCACAAATCCCCAGACCACGAGATATCTGGTTTTCTTTTACTGCAATGCAACAGCATTTGTTGCGTCGCTAGTTATCCTTATCCTACTCGGCAACAACATATTGAGCACCCAAGTCAAGCGGCTTGCATTGATAGTCTCCATGATTCTGGGCCTTCTTGGATTTGTTGGTGCGTTTGCAGTCGGAAGTTGCTGGAAAGATTCCAAATCTGTGTACATCTCAGTAGCTTTGGTTGCTGTTGCGGTGTCCCTCTACATTGGCATCCAAGTTGCGATATTCAAGTTACAAGTCTTCCCAAATAGCGCAACATGGTGGAAAATGGTGAGAGAAAAGCTGAAGCGATCTGTGCCCGATTGGCTCAAGAAGTTCTTTGAGCTGCCGCCTGAGGTGGAAGGTGAGGACATGAAATTGAAATTAGAGAAGAGTCGGAAGGATCTGCTGCTCCTTGGCATTCTTGTGGCCATTCTGATCTACCAGGCAGGCATGAGTCCCCCAGGAGGATTTTGGCAACAGAAGAAGACAGGCCCTATTGTCGCCGACTACTACGGACGTCGCTACAAGGCCTTCGTTGGGTCTTTTTCCTTGACGATCATGCTGCTGCTGAATAGAAAGCTTTCGTCGAGAGGAATACTGTCACATGCGCTCAGGGTGTGTGTGATCCTCGACCAGCTGATTAGGCAGACCGGTGGGTTTGTTACCCGAATATCAGCCTGTTCGTTTGTTAGTTCCAGTCAGGGCTTACCAACCAGTCAACAGTGTTTTCCTCTCGCAATAAACCAGCACCAGCCAGGCTTATCTGCCCAAGCGAACAGGCTCTATGCCGAAAGGTATCAATATCCACATATGTCTTCATCCTGGTCTTTGCAGTTGTAGTCTGCATCTCGCTCCATCGTATTCTGGGCGTGCCAGAGCCGATCCCGGGTAGCCAACAGATACTTCTATTCTTGTTCATCATTATGGAGGAAGAAGCGGGTCACAAATTGCCGCCTACTACCGTCCATGGTCCCTGGTATGGAAAGTTTCCCATGTACTTTGGTGGTCTCTTTAATTTATTCATTCATCTTGTAACATATCGTTGAACTACTCATATAGGTACTTTTCTAATATAATATCTATCCGATTGTAGTACTATTTGGGTTACTTTAGGTTATTTCAGTGGGTGAGATCGCCAGAAATTTTAGGAGGGGCTGAGACATAACAAATGGTATAACACATTGTTATTCATATCAAACATGAATAGTTATTATAATGCAAGTTTAAAGATTAGAGATGGTACCTTCCATTAGAGCAACTTCAAATTATCACATGTGCAGATGTCCTGGTTTCTAAGCACCGTACATGACAACGTGCATGAAACTTTTTCAAATTTTTACCATAGGCTCCACATGCTATATAACAATGCATCCACAAGTTTCGTGATTTTCTGAATTCATTTGAATTTTATACAATTTAAAAACACTTTGGCCGCAACTTTGTCCTCATGTTTCGTTAACAAGATGTGAAAAATATCCCGCAAGTTCCTGGATACGGCCTCAAAACACACTCACTAGCGTGTCAATCATTTTTCGAATGATTAGATTTTATTATTCGATGCACCTGCAGTTCAAAATTGTTTTTTGCGAAATAAATCAACAAAACAAAAATAATTCTAAAAATATAGTAAAAAGTCACAAAATTCAACCAAATTTTAACATGTACTTTAAAGCACTGTAGCAACCCTAAAGAAAAAATCTGGGAGCAAAAAAAAAATCTTTGCCGAGTGCCAGACCTGTCACTCGGCAATGGGGGTCTTTGCCGAGTGCCAGAGACAGGGCACTCCGCAAAGAAAATAAATAAATAAAAAATAAAAACCTTTGCCGAGTGCAGGCCCGTGGCACTCGGCAAAGGACCTAACATCAAATTGGGCCGCGGCCGGCCCACCCCGGCCAAACCCTATCCACACAACCGCACCTTGCACCGCTCGCCAAGCTCATTACACAGCGCCTGTACCTGCCCCGCCCGCCCAGGTGCCCGCCCCTTCACATACACTACACACCACATGCCTGCAACCAGCAGCCTTGCACAAGCCTACACACCAGCATGCATGCACACCATGCCACACACACACACACACACATGCACATGCTACACAGCGCTACCCTTTGCACCCGCCGCCGCACTCGCATGCACACCCGCGTCTGTACACAAGCGCTGCCACACCACACCACCGCCATACACACACCATGCCACACCAGCCACCACATGCACGCCCCGCCGCACCGCCGCGCGTCACACACACAGGCGCTAGCGCCCACAGCCGCGCCAGCCGCTGGCACACACAGGTGCACACACCCCAGCAGCCACCGCCCACAGCGCCTGCCCGCGGCCCACAAGGCCCTGCCCCGCTTCTGGCCCAATGATCAAGCGAAGAGCGCCAGCACTGTACTCCACGGCCTGCCCGCCCTTCCCCTCGCTTCCGCCACGCCCCACCGAACGACCGGTGTAGAAGGAGGAAGAAGGGGGAGAGGAAGGAGGAAGGAGAGGAAGGAGGAAGAAGGAGGAAGGAGGTTGCCTTCCCGTTCCGTTCCCGGCGCCATCTTCCCCGTGTTCCTGTCTCGTCGACCCCTCTGCCGCCAAGGTATAATGATGTGCCATTGTGATTGTCGCCCTTTGAGCCGTTGTGATTGTCGGCCTTCGAGCCATTGTGATTGTTGGCCTTCGAGCCGTTGTGATTGTCGGCCTTCGAGCCGTTGTGATTGTCGGTCTTCGTGCCGTTGTTTTTTTTAGGTTTTGGGAACCTCCCCGTGCAGGGGAGGTGCTGCCAAAATTTAGAATTGACCCAAATCTATTTGTTTTTCATGCAGGTGAAGGAACTGTCTGAGCGGAGCCAGAGCACCTTGGCTACACCGATCGTCTTCCTCGGCGTTGTGGGTCTGCCTGCACCGCGTCGCCTCGCCACTGCACCGACTCGCCACCGCCCCGCTAGCCTGACTCCACCGACACCCTATGTATAACCCCTCTTTTGCGTACCTTGGTCATAGATCGCGTAACCAAGTTAGGCGTCTCCCGTCCGAAAGAGATACGGTTGGTGGTATGCATATCTTTGCATATCTACGGCCATATCTTTTTCAGATTGTCCACGTTATTTGGACAGCCCGCGGATGCGTAGATGAGTTTAGTTTCCATGGTCCGCTCCGATCCGAGATAGGGTTTCGACATTACCTCCCGTTGTTCTCCGGATACACACTCTCCTGCCAGGGCGTGTATCGGGAGAACAATGGGAGGTGTCACCAAATTATGTCTAGGATAGGAGTAGACCATGGTAACTAACCTCATCTACGCATCCGCGGGTGGGATTAGGACCTATCCTCACCTATTAGACAGTATGAAAGTCGTGTAGATGTAGTTGATGGTTGCATTACTCACTGACATTTTAGAGGATGGATGACCGTCAGTGGATGTACACAGGCTGGAAAAGTCACATGGAGTACACAGATGAATGGTTTCGCAAGACCGAGGCTTTTTTGAACAAGGCATTTGGCAAGGCTTCATCATCACATCTGCTAGAGCCGTGTCTCTGCTCCAAATGTGCAAATAGGAGAAGGATAAACAGGGTCGACATGGGTAAACATCTTGTGAAGAATGGATATATGCCGGGCTACACCCGGTGGATCTACCATGGTGAAGCCCATCGTACGAGAGAGGAGGTGGTGAGACCACGCGTCGAAGCTTTTGATGATGATGCCGGTGTACCAGACTTGTTAGATGATGTTCACCAAGCACTCGGCGTTGACAAACGCGAGAAGGAGGAGATGGAGGCAGCCACAAAGGCTTTCTATGAGATGATGAACTCTGCTCAGAAGCCCCTTTACGATCGGTCCTCGGTGTCTGAACTTGACGCCATTGGACGCTTGATGGCGTTGAAGTCCGAGTTAAACATCAGTCGAGACGGCTTTGATAAGATGTTGATCATGATTGGCACCCTGCTTCCGGAGGGCCACATTCTGCCAAAGAGCATGTACGATTCACAGAAGCTCCTTCGGGCACTTAAGATGCCGTATGAGCAGATACATGCTTGTCCGAAGGGGTGCGTCCTATTCTGGAAAGAGCATGTGGACGCAAAGTACTGTCCAAAGTGTGAATCATCTAGGTACCTGGAGACAGACTCTGGTGATGGTCAGAAGAGTCAGACGACAGTCCCAGTGAAGATCGTACAGCGCCTTCTGTTCCTATCGAGGATCCAACGGCTATTCATGAATGAGGAATCCGCGAAACAGATGACATGGCACAAAAATGGAAAACGGTATAGTCTGGAGAAGATGGTGCATCCAGCCGATGGTGAAGCATGGAAACACTTCGATGACATATATCGTGAAAAAGCTGGAAAGGCTCGTAATGTACGTGTTGTGTTGGCAACAGACGGGTTCAATCCTTATGGAATGATGGCTGCCCCATACACATGTTGGCCCGTGTTCGTTATCCCCCTCAATCTCCCCCCCCCGGTGTCTCCTTTGAACGACATAACATATTCTTGTCGTTGATAATTCCTGGACACCCGGGGAGTAATATGGGTGTGTTTATGGAGCCGGTGATTGATGAATTGATCCATGCTTGGGAGGTAGGGGTATGGACATACGACCGAGCTACAAAGACAAGCATCAAAATGCACGTTTGGTACCAGTACTCCATGCATGACTTCCTGGCGTATGGGTTATTCAGCGGTTGGTGTGTTCACGGGAAGTTCCCATGCCCAGTATGCAAGGAAGCTTTGAGGTTCATCTAGTTACGGAAGGGTGGCAAGTATTCGTCGTTCGACGCACATCGGCAATTCCTCCCTTCTGAGCATCCATTCAGACAAGACATCAAGAACTTTATGAAAGGTGTCGTAGTGACAGACCCTCCACCGCGGATGATGACTGGTGCCGAGGTTCATGCACAGATAGATGCTCTCATGTCCGCTCCAGATGGTGGGTTTGTGGGATATGGTGAGCAACATATGTGGACACATAAGTCAGGCTTGACGAGGCTCCCCTATTTCGATGACCTTCTTCTGCCACATAACATTGATGTAATGCACACCGAGAAGAATGTCGCCAAGGCACTTTGGGGAACACTCATGGACACTGAAAAGTCTAAGGACAACACTAAGGCTAGAGTGGACCTGGCAACGTTATGTGATAGATCAAAGCAAGAGATGCAGCCTCCTAGAGGCAACAAGACATGGAGGCGGCCTAAGGTCGATTTCGTCTTGACCAGGGATCAGAGGAGGGAAGTACTTCAATGGATCGAAACGCTAATGTTCCCTGATGGGTATGCAGCGAATCTGAGGAGGGGAGTCAACTTAGGCACTCTGCGAGTTAATGGGATGAAGAGTCATGACTTCCACATCTGGATTGAGCGGCTTCTTGCAGCGATGGTTCAAGGCTATGTCCCTGGTCATATATGGCAAGTGCTTGCAGAGTTGAGCTATTTCTTTTGCCAGCTTTGTGCAAAGGAGCTTGACCGGTCCGTCGTTCGTGACTTGGAAAAAGCGGCACCTGTGTTGGTCTGTAAGTTGGAGAAGATCTTTCCACCCGGCTTCTTCTTGCCGATGCAGCATTTGATTGTGCACCTCCCCTATGAGGCACATATGGGGGGGCCCGTGCAGGCCCGGTGGTGCTATCCAATCGAGAGATGTCTGAAGACTGTTCGAACAAAATGTAGAAATAAGGCCAAAATTGAGGCTTCCATTGCAGAGGAAACCGTTAGGGAGGAGGTGGGAACCTTCACACAGAAATACTACACACCGAACCTCCTTCCTAGCGTGCATAATCCACCCCCTCGTTACATTGCTGGCGAAAATGAATCGAAGCTCAGCCTTTTCCAAGGGCAGCTCGGAAGCGCAAGTGCATCGACCACTAAGCAATTGAAAAATGAAGAGTGGCGCAGTATCATGCTGTATGTGTTGACCAACCTTGTCGAGGTGCAGCCGTTCATTGGGTAAGTTCTCAACCCCCTTGTTTTGATACGCCGTCACACTATTTCGCATCCAAACCCCTTATTTCTCTTTGGTACAGGGAATTCACTCATCAAACATGGCAAGGATGAAGGGATCCAACCCCGCAGGAAACTGATACCCTTCTTTCAAAGGGTGCGGGACCAGGGAGGCCCGATTTCATTTCTTGGTTCAAACGGAAGGCCCAAACTGATGTTACTATAAGTGACGAGTTAAGACAGGTTACAAACGGCTGTGCCATTAGGGTCAAGTCATTTAACGGCTACGACGTGAATGGATATCGCTTTCAAACAACATGCTACGAGCAGAGTCGGCCCAATCGAAAGACCACAAATAGCGGAGTTTTAACACCAGGCACTAATGAGGTCCAATATTATGGAAGAATTGAGGAAATCTATGAACTTTCATTTCATGGTTCCAAAGCTCTTAATCCTGTCATATTCAAATGCCACTAGTTTGATCCTGGAGCAACGAGACGGACCCCTAATCTTGGGCTAGTGGAGATTCAACCAGATTCCGTCTACCCAGGAAAAGATGTCTATATTGTGGCTCAACAGGCCTACCAGGTGTATTATATGCCATACGCGTGCCAAGACGAAGAGCTTAAGGGTTGGGCTATTGTGCACAAGGTATCACCACATGGTAAACTACCTGCCCTAAACGATGAAGATTACAACTTCAATCCAAGCACATATGAGGGAGAGTTCTTTCAAGAAGAGGGGCTACAAGGAAGCTTTGTGATAGACTTAACCGAAGCGATAGAAATGGAAGTAGACAATGAAAGGGTTGATGATGAGGATGCTGGAGATGAGGTCCAAAATGTGGATGACCTACAAATGCTTGAGCGATTATGTTTAGGCAATGACAATGAGGACAACATTCCTCCTTCAATTAGTGTTGATGATTTGGACAATGTTGATAGCGATGATGAGACCTATGATCCAGCTAATCCAAATAATGATGATTATTTCTAATAAATGTAATACTAAAGTTGATTATCATTTTGCATCTATTTCTAATTAAGTGTTTTGTAAGCATGAATATTATTTCTAATACATATAATACTTTTCTTTTTTTTTCAGGTGATTCAACAAAGATGGCGGGTGGGCGTCACAGGCCTGTCATGTCGCTTTACCAAGCAGGGGAGGAGGCCGAGGGGTCGGACGCGAGGAGGAGGAACCCGAGGAGCAGGAGGCCCTCGGCACGTCTCCAGGTGTCGGAGGAGGCGGAGCCGGTGACGCTCGTGGAGAGGGCGCACGAGGAGGAGCAGCAGGAGGAGGAGGTTTCGTAGACGCCCCCCGAGGGCGACGAGGAGGAGGCATCCTTCGACGAGCAGGAGGCGTTGGCAGGAGGCACGGGTTCCTCTTCCTCTGCTCCGAGGGTGTACCTGCGAGGTCCCGCGAGCCTCCCTGCTTTTCCGCTTCCTCACCGCCGCCTAGTGATTCGCCCTGAAGGGCAAAAGTAAGTAAACTTGACATTTTATTTGCCCCTACTTCATATGATAAGTTCAAACAAAGATGAACTACTAATTTTTCTTAATCACATGTCAGGAACTGGGTGGTTGTGTCTGGTGCTGGTGCACGCACCCCCAATGGCATCCTGGGTCTTCTATGCAGGCAACACTACCCCGGTGTCGTCACGTACAAGAACAACACGTTGGTGGCCTGTTCGTTTGACCACTACGCCATCGCCGCTGATATGGAGCCGTACCCCAACAAGGCAGCATGGGTCATTGGGGAGTTCTGGGTAAGTCTCCTCGCATAGCATTGCTTCTTTCATTGAACTTTTTCTTTAAAAAATATCCATACAAATAGCGTGTTTGTCTGCAGGCTTATTTCAAATGCGAGGAGGGATTTGAGGGCAGGAAGGATCAGGTGGCGACCAAAGCCTGCAAAAAGCTCGTCGTCGACATGATTCACGAGGCGAAGATCCAGGCCGTTGTCACCTACTACGGGTCGAAGCTTGGACAGAGGTCAAAAAGGCCGACGCTTGTAACCATGGACTGACCGGGAGCAAGACATTGAGGTACATGAGAACATCCAGATTGATTCGTTTTGAGAATAAGTAGGTTTAATTCGATCATCTTATATGTCAATTACCGGATGACATGCAGATGATTCCCTGGTGGTGCGGATCGTATCCCGAGGCATGGGAGAAGATCGTGGACAACTGGTTTACGGAGGGGTATGCCTCGATGCACAACGCTGTAAGGGAACAGCGTTTGGAGATGCAAGGACCAGCACACCATCAAGGCAGCCGCAACCTCGCTGGATACAGAGACGCATGGGTACACGAATTCATTTATCTATTCTGATGCTCAATTATGACTGATTTCTAATCTTCTTGATGTCTTTCTCGTGGGGCGTCACATCAAGGCCGGGGAGTGCTCGGACTTCCGGGCATGGTGCATGTCCCACAAGGAAAAGGCGACGTCCGACGTCTCCTTCACTGGAGGACGGGCCCGAGTAGTACGAACCCGGCGTCCACACTCGATCATCCGAGTACACGTCTTACCGCAAGGTCACCCATGGGCCGACTTTGACCCGCGTGCGTAGGGGAGATTGATCTGGAGCTCGTCATGAGGTTGGGAGGAGGGAAGAAGCACGACCGCATGTAGATTGCCGATGGCACAATTGACTCGACCGCTGTCCCCGACCTCTCCACGATCCGAGCCCGGAGTACGAGCGAGAGCCCGGCCATACGCACATAGCCGACCGTTGCACAGCAGCGGGTCGACGTCCTTGAGGTAATTTCAGTTTGACTCGTCGTATATTGACTTTTACATACCGTAATTAGCTATGCATTATCAAAACATTGGAGTGAAATATTGCAGGCCCGGCTCAAGAAGAAGCTCGGCAATAGCGTCAAGAGCTGCAAAGCGCAATGATGTCCCAAATCGGACCTATGAGAGTAGGTTGTCGAGCATCACGGGCTTTCTTCAAAGCCTTGGGCAACATACGGTCTTCTTTGTGCCACACGAGCTGCTCGCTCCACCACCTCCACCTGCAGCCTCACCACAGGATGGACCTACACTGTGAGTATGAAAGTTAATTGCGTCTCTTACATGCAAGTAATTTCTAATTGGCTAGCCAAGTAGATGTCTAACACATAGAATATATACTCCTTTGTGCAGCCTCAGTCGGCGGCTTTCAATAATCCGCCTAATCCTTAGGATCCGTATCAGTCACCGCCCGATCAAAGGCGTATTTGGTAATGAGTTTGAACTTGTCCATGTTCATGGAATTGTGGTAATAAACTGGATGTTAGATGATGAACAACTTTTGAACTTGTGAATTTCGATGTGATATATTCAGACACTTATGTTTGTGACTTCTAAATGGTGTTTGTGATATGTAAGTGATGAATGTGTGATGAATGTCATGGATTTGAAGAATGTGATGAATATCTGTGAAATTTTCTGTTTGAATGTGTGATGGAAGTGTGTTGGAATGTAAAACAAGGAAAAAATAGGCAATTATAGGCGCTTTGCCGAGTGTCACACTTTCGGCAAAGGCCTCTTTACCGAGTGCAATGGCCACTTGCACTCTCGGCAAAGTCGGCAAAAACTCGGAGAAAAACACCAGATTTCCCGGCTTTGCCGAGTGTAATTGCAAGGACACTTTCGGCAAAGTTGGGCTCTTTGCCGAGTGTCGACCCACGGCACTCGGCAAAGGAAAAACTTTGCCGAGTGTCACCGCAGACACTCGGCAAACAATTTCGCAAAAGTGGGCTCTTTGCCGAGTGTCGAAACCACGGCACTCGGCAAGGGAAAACTTTGCCGAGTGTCACCGCAGACACTCGGCAAAGGGACTTTTAAAAAAATAAAAAAAATCTTTTCCGAGAGCCGACACTCGGCAAACAATTTCGGAAAAAAAATTATATAAATTCTTTGCCGAGTGTCGTCCTTGAGACACTCGGCAAAGCAACCGTCATGATAGCGCGCCGTTAACGGCTATTTTTCTTTGCCGAGTGTCCGGCAAATGACATTCGGCAGGCACTCGGCAAAGGGGAAGGCTTTGCCGAGTGCCCGACAAATGACATTCGGCAGGCACTCGGCAAAGTCCCTGTTTCCAGTAGTGCTCTAACCAGAGGTTGCTTCTTGGTACTGGTAGTTTCCAGGAGACAGCGGACGATCTGCTGCAAAGAAATGTCGTCTCTGTGGCCCAGCTTGCAAGCAGCCGTGGCTTGGTTACGGTCTTTGAGCCGACAGGCTGCTACATGAAGGACAAGAAAACTGGACAGATCGTTGCCCATGGCCACTTACGTGACGGTGCATTCGTTCTCGACAATCTTCTCATAAACCAGGTAGCAGCGTTGGGCCAGTGCAACTCTACCAGCACTATTAATTATTACGCCCTCCATTCCACATTTCTTCTCTCTTTAATTTTTTACAAGTCAAATTTCAACAGTGCTAAATAAATGCACTATCAAAACATATTTCAACATTAGACTTAATGAAACAGATTTGGTTTAGATGTTGGTGTATTCTCTTTTACAAACTTGATCAAAGTTACACTAGTTCAACTTAGAACGAAATTTGTAACTAAGAGAGTGGACTATAATATTCTGCGTACCCGTCCATCCTTGCATAAAAATATCGATATTGTTGATTAATTATCAATGATCATATTCTGTTCCTTTGCAGGAAAAAGGACCAGGCAGATCTGGTGCTGCAAACAAACAAAGGGAACAAGAGTTGGACAGTAGTGACACAGGACGAGGTCGATTTGTAGCTGGCAAAGATCAAGGGACAAGAAATCAAAATGGAGGTGAAGACGATGGTAACAGATCTAAAGGAAGAGGTCAAGTTAGAGGCGAAGAAGGAGATAAAGGTGGAGGTGGCGCCAACAGTAGCAGCAATAAAGGAAGAGATCAAGCTGGAGGTGAAGGAGAAGGCGATAAAGGTGGAGGTGGCACCAATGATGGTAGAGATGAAGGAAGAGGTGGTCAAGCCGGGGGTGGAGGAGGAGATAGAGATGGTGCTGGTAGTGGTGGAGGAGGTGGAGGAGGAAAAAAAGGAGGTGGAGGAGAAGAAGAAAAAGAAAGTGACGAAAAAGAGGAAATCGAGGAAACAGAAGAAGAAAACGACGCAGGAGAAGATGAAGAAATCGAAAAAAAAACGTCACCAACAATCATCCTGTGGAGGCTTGGTTAGTCATCTGCGATATGAAAGGTAATATACTCTATTCCTTCTCATGCACTTGCATTGCGAAAAGGGCTGGTTTTTATGGGATGTACATTATGTGCAATCTGAACGTTATAAACACAATGATGTGATTAATATGTGAAAGGGCTCATTCAAAATATTTTGTATACTTCCCCGTTTACTTTTATTATTTAAGGACCATTAAAAGTATTGTTGGCATTAATCCTTTTAGTAATATATATTCTACATAGTGTGAAGTGCTAAAAAATGAGATCATAACTCATAAGGTTGAACTAAAATCAGAACATATATATTAATCCACATATGCACTAAAATATATGTATAATTTGATTTATTATTGCACCAAACTTACTAGGTTTGGCTTTGTTGTATTAACTTTAATCTTACAGTGAACTAGGGGATCGAGTATGCAAATATTTAAATGACAATAAAATTGTGTGGGTTTAATGGAATTTATTTAATATACAAAGTGGGAACACAAAATTGATTTTGGAAAAGTGTCGTGTCTGAACCTTGACATTTGATACAGGGTAATGTATAGCGGGTTGCTTGGTTAGATGGATGCTTTGGAATAGAAACCTCTTAAATGTGTGTTAACTAAATGTACATCCACGTGGTAGCACATTTATACGTTTTTGTGGTGGTTGGTTTAATGCCACTTTAGTTGTTAAGGGTGAGTTACAACGATATATAAGGATAGGTTGGTGGGAGTACATGGTTCACCCAACGTCTAAAGTAAATCTATTAAGCAGTTCTTGCTTCACGTAAACCAGTTCTTGGATCAACTGGTTTACATGAAGCATGTACTCCCACCAATATAACGGATCAACTAGTTTACGTGAAGCATGTACTCCCACCAAGATTGATGGTATGGATTGTAAAAGTCTTATTTGGACTAGCTCACCCTCAACGACCAATATACAATCTCAAAGCAACACATATATGAGCCACCGTGAGACTAATTCAAATTAGGTTAGATGCCACATTAAATTTTTTTGTCCATCTAGAAAATTAGTTTCGACAATAATACAGTCTTCAGCAGCACCAAACATTTATTCAAGGCATAATTTGACTTCTAAATGCTAGGCTTTGTGTTTTTAAACAATTTGAGTGTTGAATGTACGAAATTCACATGAACTGTTTTTTTCTTCTCAAAAGTATCTTAGTATTTGATTATTATTTTATCAACAGAAGAATACAATGTATGAAAAATTAAAGGTGAAAATCTATTTATGAGCACCATTATACATCACCGTGGATTTTCAACAGTTGTAGTAAATTTTCCCTTGTATTTGTATATAACTTAGTTGATTACTTAGGAACTACCTTGATATAGCCACACCAGCAGGCAAATCTTACGTACACAGGAGGGAAGTAAAATCTTACTTGAAATAATGACTGAAGATTATTATCCCCTACCTACTAGTAGTCTATAGTTTGCATATTACAGATAGCACAGAACAAACTAACTCCGATCTTGCCATACTAAACTGATATACTGCGTGCTCTTATATATATTAGCTTCTGCCCATGCGGTGCTTCGTTGATCTGCGAGAAGTGTGGTCTGGGACCTCCTAAAGCCTGTCAAGGAGACATAGCTACGTACCACGATACAATCAAAGTAGCAGAAGGCTGTGTGTTGCACACGCCGATGCAAGCTGGATCAGGATCACCACAACCCTCGCTGAACTTCATAATGGACTCAGGCGCACACAGCCACATGACATGGAACGGGGACCCTGGTTTTCTGAAACCGTACCCTTGCAAGGTCGACCTGCCGATTAGAGGTGTCAAAGGAGTCGGCGGGAAGATTTGCATAGTTTCTGGATGCGGGTACATCAACACTGGTGCCATAACACTCGAGGGCGTGTTACATGTTCCTGATGGGGGTGTAAATCTGGTCTCCCTTTCTAAGCTTGTGGACGACTACTCCGCGAGGGTGGTGTTTGACAAGAAGTTGTTCTCGGTCAAGAGGCTTCAGGACAAAGAGATGATAGGGAATGGCCACAGGGTGGGCAGCCATTACTTTCTCGATCATTTCCTGCCAGGCTGTCTGTACGTCGACCAACTGCAAACAACACAACATGTCCAGCAGAGAGATGGATCATTTGCTTCGTCATCTCGAGCAACTAGGTTCTGAGAAGGTCTGAACCAGGATGGCTAAGAGAACAGACTACTCATTGCAACACTGGAACTACTTCTGCCTTTACTTCCATGTCAATGGTATTTTTGTATCGTTTCCTTGCACTTTGTAGTATCAGTTATTATTCCGGTTCTAAATAAATGAATTAATTGTTCAGGTAACAATTTGCTTTCCTCATATAAAATTATAGGTCGTTTACCAAGACATATAATTTTCTGAAACCAGTTTGATTTTGTCGTTTAAAGAGAGATGATTCATATGCATATGTATATACTTAGATTCCTTCGGGGTTTTTTAACAATGAAAAAAAAGTGGGATTTTATATTGAAATTTGGAAGGTGTCTTTACATTATTTTTAATTTATCTATCTATATTATAAATATATTATAAAAGAGCGAAGGTACTGATAAATACTTTTCACCCAATTGACTCCTACCGATCTTATATCTCAACCTTGAAGGTGCTTTGAAAATCAGGTTTAACGCATCTAAAATTTCAATCCGACCTGACGGATGGGTCTGGATAGAACCACGTCCGTTTACACCCGTGTCACGTCCCCGCCTATCTACCAAAGCACAGCTCACCTCTGTTGGATTTTTTTTCACCTTCAAAATCTCTACCCACACTATGTACCTTCTCGGCTGGTATAGCCTGGTACCCATGGCTTTACTTGATTCAGCCGATAGACAAGGCAAGGTAGTCTATCTAGGAAAGAAGGAAAGTTTGAGAACGTCACTGTTGGTGTAATCCTGAAGCTTGATCGTTGAGGTTAGAGTTAGAGAAGATGGAGGGAGCTCGGGATGGTTTGAATTCGTAGCACGCTGCGGGAACAACAGTACTTGAGTCAGCCATCTTGCCTTCTGCCCTCTCGCGCCCAAACTCTTCTGCCAAACCCTAGACGAATTCCCTCTTTGCTGAATGCGGGTTTTCTACATCCGTGCAATGGGGAAGAAGGGAGGCAAGTCCGGAACCACGAAGAAGGCGGAGCAGGAGGAGAAGAAGATAGGGCTCAGGCCAGCGCAGACGGCGCCGCCCAGCCCCTTTGTCGCGTGGGATTGCCCAAAGACCACGGAAGGTGTCTTTACATTATTTTGAATATATCTATATTATAAAAAAAGCAAAGATACTGATAAATACTTCAGAACTGCTGACAAAACTTCAGGTAGGGTGGACATCGGCGTTACCAATGGACGGTGGCCGGGGAGAGCCGGGCGGGCGTCATCGTTGCCCTATGTGGGCGTGCCTGGTTGGGAGCCGAGCCGCCGCTGACCGGCTACCACTGCCTACTGGCCATGAGCAGGCGTAGCCACCAGCCACCACACAGCCACACAGGAGAGTAGGAGACGTTCGAGGAGAGACGAGGAGAGCCGGAGCCCGGAGAGGAATGGCCCGAGGACGGAGAGGCAGCCGGCGGGCGAGGAGCTGAGGCCCAAGGGCTAGCCGCCGACGCAGCTAGGCTGTGAGTTGGAGCGCCGAGTGCCGCCGCCGCCGAGTCCACGATTTGGAGCGCCGCCGTCTCCGAGTCTGCGACTCGGACCACCGCTACTGAGTCCGCGGATTGCAGCACCCGTCACCGGATCTGGAGGACACGAACTGAGCTCTGCTTCTGCTCGGCCTAAGTCTAAGGCCTGATGGGCCAGGCCGGCCAGACAGCCCAATGCCCATACGCTGATATGCCCCCAAGTCAAAAGCCCAGCGCGTAGTCTTGGTCTCTCCCGTGACCTTTCTTTAACCTCGGTACAGTGCTCAGGGGCTCAGGCATTTTTCAAGGGGAAGGGATGTCAGCAACCCACATCCAAGACATCCAGAAGCCGGGCCCAGTCCCAGGAAAGGCATAAGGGCGAGTCCAGAAGCGTCCGAGTGTCTGGGGCTGAATGGGCTTGAATCGCGTGCTCTGTGAGGCCCTTTACCGAGGAGGATAAGTAGTACTAGTTGCGTATGAGATTGTAACAACTTTTGACCTGAACAAACTTATCTCCTACAACTTCCAAGCCGGACCTATGCCACTCTTCTTCCTCCCCGAAATTCCCCGTTCCAACCGCTGCCATGAGCAGTTTGTAACATGGTGCCCTCAGGTCACTGCTACAGAATTGACATTCACAGCTGGCTCATCATCGCCAGTTGCTTTTCGAACCGGCGGTGATAAGTATCAATACCAGAATGTGACTTCAACCGACAGTGATAGCATAACCGACAGTGATAGGTGGACTATCACAGCCGGTTCGTGGGTTGAACCGGTAGTGATAGCTGTTTTGCACAGGAAAAAAAATTCATATAATAACAGATGAAGATAAACTTTATATCAAAATTACATAGAGCTTAAAAAGATCTAAAACTTTTCAGATGACAACTTTTCAATTTGAGAAGGCTTTTAGGTCCACATATTCAATTTATGTTCTCAGATCAGATTTGACATGATTAACAATGTCAAATGGAGACTTTTTTAACATCAAAGTTGTAGTACTCGACGAGATGTACAGCTTTGCAGTTAACAACCATTTCATTCAAGATTGTTTCGAGTGTCAAATATATATTATAAGATTCGAAAATGTGTAGTTAAAAAATAGCGTCAGCTATATAGTCACATGTGTCTTGTAACCTAGTTGGTACGTGCACGAACGAATGTGAACGTTGAGATCATGAGTTTGAATCCTGAAAAAAAAAAACATATTGGCCCTGTTCGCTGGTCTGAAACTTGGCTGAAACTGCCTGAAAACACTGTTCTGGCTAAATTGTTGTGAGAGAAAAACACTGTTCTGGCTGAAAAAATAAGCCGAAAAAACCGAATATGGGGTAAGCCGAACAGGGCCAATTTTATTTCTGTGCTACTGCTATGCTATCACTGTCGGGAGCCAGTAGGTAATTTACATCCACGGCCCGACATTGTCTCGTTCATCGATCGCCTGTAGGTTCTCTCTTTTGTACTAGCAATTTTTCCCGTTGCCATTCTATTTCAGTTTTGCATCTTCCTCTAGCGGAGGCCGGCCTGAGGGGTATAGCAATATAGCATACCCTAGGTCGCCGGTGGTGGCGCGGCCTGGCCGTCGCCGTGTGGCCGCACGCACGATTCGCCAATAGTTGATCAAACTAGTATTTTGAAATATCTCGATCGGTTACTAATTGCGATGAAAACTACAGTCCGGACTCGATCCATGGGGTGGTACGTATCCTACTGCTGTCATGGAGAAATATCAGTTTCTATCGCATTTCGTAGACTTGGTTGCCTGCTCTTAAAATCTACAAGGGACGGCGGCATCAGGGAGGGTGCATGCATACGTGGAACAATCACCTCCCATGCTTTCAGTTTCATAGACTTTTATAAGCCCGTTCAATTTCATGATTTGATTGGTACAGGCATCTCCTTTCGCTCGTACACCTACTGTATTATTATGCAACTTGCTATAAGTTCCTCTAGTATATCAACCTGTGCTTCCGCACGGTTAAAAGAATTTAGGAGACATAAATATTATATATGTCAGTTACTGCTGTTTTTTTTCTTTTCTTTTTTGAGCAGAACTGCTGTTTTTTTTTTTTTCTAATACAAGACGGTTCTGGCTTTGGCCGCACGTGGACCTGTTTGGTTTGATGCTCGCACTTCAAAACTTGCCTAGCCCAAACATGGCTTTGGATGCCTAGGTCCAAGATTGCTTGCCTGACCAGACACTGTGGCTTTAATATAAACAGGACGTAAGGAGGGTTTGTTTGCCGAGACTAGCAATTAATGTACGTGTGAGGTTAAGGCCTTGTTTGGTTGAGCTATGGCTTTTGAAAAAGCTGCTGTGAGCTGTGACGGTGAAAAAGCAGTTGTGGAAAAGCAACTGTGGGAAAAGTAGAAGACTGTTTGGTTAAACAACTGTGGCTTTTGCAAATACTGTTGACAGTGGACCTACATGGCCCACATGTCATTCACTTCTCCCTTCTTCGTCTTCTCCAGCATGCTCCCATCCGTCCTGGATGAGGCCGCCGGCGCCGGCCACCATGCTATGCTGCGCTGTCACCGGCCAGAGAGGGAGGGCGTGGCAGCAGCGGAGCTCGCACTCGCTCTGCAGGTCGACGGAGATGGCACGGGACAATGGAACGGATGGGGCCAAGGACCATGAGCACGGATCAAAATTAGGAAGGATAAATCAGATCTTTCTCAAAGAAAAAGGAAAGAGCCAATCCGCTGCTCATAACTGCAGGAGGTACGGGCATTCCGGATCTCGTGACCATGGCGTGCCGGTCTCGCGCACCTGTCGGCCGTGGACCTGGTGGACTTCACCGCTCGTGCCAGTGGGAAGGGAGGGCCGGCCTGGAGTTGCGTCACGGCCGACCAGAATTGCGCCCGCCGCCGCCACGGGCTTCTCCCATCGAGCATGGCAGCCGGCCGTGCTCGTCGCAGCTCGCCTCAGTCTCCCCACGCGCCGAGGTCGAGGTCGCGTCTACGCGCCGTGGTCGGGGCAGCGCCCACCGCCGGGGCCGGGGTAGAGGCTCGTCGTCGCTGGAGACCTAGATGCGCACGCGCTCACTCGCGACCGAGGAGGAAGATGAGTCGCTCAGGGAAACAAAGGAACCGTTTTCTTTCCGTAACCAGTGGCACGTGGGTAATTTCTTTTCTTCCAAAGCAGGTGAAAGCAGAGGAGAATCTGTTTTTGGATTTGTACTAGAGAAAAAGCTGCTTTTGGACCAAAGCAGCTGTGGTTTTTCACCCCTTCGGTTAGCTTTTGACATTTGCAGAAGCAAAAACAGGTTGAAAAGCACAATCAAAGGAGGCCTAAGTTGGTTGGTTTGCATGGCGAGGGCTGTCATAGTGTTTGTTCGTGGTGCTCGAAAAGACCAAAACATGAAAAAAAGAAACCAAAAAATTTTAAAATGTTATTTCGAATACAGAAAAAAATATAATTTAAATTTAAATAAATAGTACAATAACAAGAAGAAAACAAACTGGCTGTCAGCATACTGATGTCACACTGCCGCTCCCCTCCACTGCTGGGGAGGCCCAGAGACAGGCTGTCCGC